AGACCTCAAGCCGCCTTAGGAACCAGCCCCATCTGGGCCCCCTCTTGCCGCCTATTCTGGGGGCCTCTCCCAAGTCACCGAAGTTAACCCCTTGGGGGTTGATGCTACTTTAAGCCTCCCATTTGGGGGCTGAGGGAAGGAGGCTCAGAGAAGGGCCCGGTGGACTAAAGTGACCCGGGTAGTCACACTGGTCTCAGAGCCCTGGGTGTGGAATGGCCCAGCTCACTCAGCTCCCAGTCTGGCCTGGAGACGCACGTGGAACAGGGCAGGAGACAGGGCATGCTTCAGGAGACAGCCACTTGGCTGTCTGTGATGATGGCGTAGGGGGTTCATCTGAGAAGGCTCCCTGCTCCCAAGGAAGTCACCCACCTCAGGGGTTGCTCCCAGCGCCTCCCTCAGAGAGTGGAGGCCGCCCCTACCCCCAAACCCCACCACCAGCAGGAAAGGACTGGCAGCCCCATTACAAGACAGGGCTGGCCCAGACCTCCCCAAAGCTGGCAGCCCCATGCCGACCTTTGCTGGGCTCCCACCCCCCACCCCTCCACTGCTGCCGTCATGGGCCATTGAGTCAACTCACAGCGACCCCCCCTCAGATAATGGAGTGAAGCCCCGCCCCGCCCCGCCCGGCGCCAGGCTCCCCATTGCTTTGTGTAAGTCCACCGTGCAGCCACAGGACCAATCCACCCCTTGCTCTTTCTCACGGCCCCTCCACTCGACCAAGCACGACGTCCTTCTCCAGGGACCGGTCTCTCCTGCCAGCATGTCCAAAGCACGTGAGACCAAGAGTCCCCATCTTCGCTTCTAAGGCGCATCCGGACTGTCCTTCTTCCAAGACAAACCCGGTTTGTGTTTTGGTTTTTTGGCAGTCCGCGAGACTTCCAAGATGCTTCTCCCACGCCATCATTCAAATGCATCCAGTTCTTCCTCGGTCATCAGGGGCCAAGTTTCCCGTGCATATGAGCTGACTGAAAAGGCTGTGGCTCGGATCCGGCACGCCTTGGTCCTCAAAGCGACGTCCTTGCTTCCCAGCGCTCTGAAGAGGCCGCGGGCAACCCTTTCACCCGGTGCCCTGCATGGCTTCATCTCTCTGCTGCTTCCGTGAGAGCGCGTGGTCTCCTAGTACGAATTGTGATGAAGACGATGAGTGTGGTGGCATGAACTGTGTCTGCCAAAATACGAGTTGTAAATCCTAAGCCTTGTCCCCTGTGGGCGGAGCCCCGCTGGCCTCCTGGTTAAGTTCCTGGCTGTTCACTGCAAGCTCGGCTGTTCAAACCCATCCTCTGCTTCTTGGCGGGAAGGTGAAGCTTCTGTAAAGATTTCAGTCTTGGAAATGCTGTAGGGCAGACCTACCCTGGCCTGTAGGGCCATGGTGCCTGGGCATAGGTACCTGTGGCTCTAGTCACAATTTGGGGATGGGTTTTCCTTGGGACGTCAAGGAGACACATTCAGTGTCTCAAATCACTCTTAGTGAGGTAGTTCGTTTATTGTGCCAGCCTGGCCGATAAACACGTGGGATTAATTGAAGGGTGGAGAGATAAATGGCTCGGCGAGCCTCGCCTTTCTTGTCTCTTGCTCTTTGATCATTGGACGAGTATGCGGCTGCCTTGCTTGTTATGTGCCTCTATTTGCAAGCTACACTACCTGTGGGACACCTAACCCGTGGACTGTGTTGCTGTAATTTGAGGTTCCTTCAAGACCTGCTTCGCCACACCATTGGAATTTACATCTCTTGAGCTGGGGACTGACTGTTGGTGACCTGTCTGACTGTTGTTGACCTGCCTCGCTGTTTTTGCTGCCTGTGCCAGGATAGCCTGAATCACTCTACAGAGGACTACCTGGTGGCCCTCAAGACTTGAAGGACTGCCAGTGTCTCACAACTGTCTAACACATTTGAATTGTACTGAGCCATTGTACGGCTTTATAATTTAACTGTTTATTTCTTGTGTTATCTATCTATCTATATAAATATCTATATATATAATTATTAGCAATCTAGTTTTGTCTCTCTAGAGAACCCTGTATAACATACTTAGTGAGGGATAAAAGGAGATTCATCAAGCAGCAAAAGGACAGAGACAAGGAAGGTACGTACCCCACAGAGCTCGCCAAGGGAGCAGAAGCCAGCAGGGGAAGAGACAAGCTCCTTCCCGCAGAGCCCACCCAGGCAGAAAGAGCCCTGAATCCAAACCTCGAGGTGGAAAAAAACCGAAAAACTGTGAGAAAATAAATCTCTGCTGGTCAAAGTCACCCCCTTGTGATATTTCACTTTAGCAGCACTGGGGATGAAAACACCGAGTAGAAAGAATAAAAATAGCGGCTCCCAATTATTTAGCTCTTTACAGAATCATCTCTTTCTGAGTGCCGAGCCCCATTTTACCACAGGTGCAGTCATTCACCAAATGCCGCCACAGGCAAGACCAGGTGGTGAGTAAGGAACTCAGGCAGACTGAGGGCAGGCTGCACTTAGTCTCTCTGTGCCAGGCTGAGAGATCTCATCATGGGTTATACAGGTCTTAAAAAACACACATGCGTATTAAAAAACCAACCTCTGGTTCTTTAGTATTCCCTCCCCTCCCGAGTATGGTTCTTGTCTTAGCTCATTAACCTAGTTAGACATCAGTATGCTCATGTGCATAATTAAGATTGTGCGAATGCACGAAAGCCAAAATAGATAACACTTCAGAAACAGTAACGGGAGTAATGATTCTCTGAGGGTAAAGGAAGAGAGGGGGAGGGGGAAGGAAGGGAATCGGGAGCCGACAGCAATGATGACTGTATAATCCCACTCAATGGGAGTGAGTTACAGAATTGAATGGATATATTGGATGGTGTAAGATATGGATAATAATAATAATTTATACCATATATAGCATAACAATAAGGGCTCTGGGGACAAAGGGGAGCTGATACCAAGGAGTTCAAGAAGAATGAAAAGGTTTTTAAACTGATGGTAGCAACAATTGTATACGTATGCTTGATCTAACTGAATTACGAATTGTTACATCTGTAAGAGCTCCCAATAAAATGATTGGGGAAAAACCCATGAAGGAAACAGTGTTTACAGAGGCCCCCACTACATGCCAGACACCACACAGGCCTACACGAAAGTCTCAGCCTTCATAACAACCCTACGGGCTCGGTGTTAGTCTTCACCCAACTTGATCGATGTGGAAACACGTCCAGAGAGGTTGAGTAACTGGTCCAAGGACACACAGCCATGGAGCGAGCTCTGGGGACGGGAGGGAGGAAAAGACGGAGCATGCACTTCCGCCTGCGTCCAGCAGAGGGCGAGGCTTCATCAGCTTCCAAAGGCTTCTCTCTGGGTGGGTGTACTCTGGATTACCGGGAGAGTCTGGAGATTGGGTGTAGCTAGTGGGGGGTGGGGCGCTCAGCCAGTGGTTGGCCTCCTCTTAGAGACCTGCCCCCTCCCACTGAAATGGGAACCGTTCACCCACATAGACCCACGTGCAAATCATGACTCCTGTGGAGTTTCAGGTGAGGAAGCTGAGACTGGCATGGGAGTGGAATGGGGTGGGGGTAGGGAGGCCCTCAGCTGGGGCTGCTGCTCCCGAGAGGCACTTTGTGCTAAGCCTCCACCACCCTTCAGGAGATAGTGCCTCGGGGTTTGCAGGGCACCCAACCAGGTTCTAAGTCTTGCACAACACTGACCTAGTTCCTGTGTCTGTTTCTCAGGGAGGCAGGGGCCCTGGAAGGAGCCCACTGCAGCCAGGATCAGGAAGGACATAGGGTTCAGGGAAGTGGGGGGTATGTCTGCAGGGGGTCCCAGCCACCCTCTCAGGTGCCAGCACTTGTCATGGGCGATAGACAGGGTTTCCCACACTCCTTTGCTCGCCAAAGAAAAGGCTATGTGCAGCAAAGGCCTCTGGGAGCCGGGAGGCTGGGTATCAAGTTGGCCAGCTTCTACTTGCTTCTCTGCAGGGGCCGACAGAGCCCTCCACCCTGGGTCCTCTCTCATAGAAATGGAGGCCAGCCGTGGAGTGCCAGGGCTTTCCCACAAGCCTGTCTCCCACTTGCTACAGTGGGGAAATGGACCTGCAGGGGTCAGGGGGCCTGCCCGCGGCCACAGAGCCAGCACTTTCCACACTAACATCTTAGCTGTAAGGCCAGCCAAGGAGAGTGCGTGGGCTGAGAGGCATGCCCACCCTTGCCCCCAAGTCTCAGCTAGGTTTTATACAAGCTGGGGGACCCATTTCTTCCCTTCATATTTAGGCCTGAACATCTCAAAAGCGTGAAGCATCTGATCCTGCAGGGTTCCTTTGTGCCAGGTAGTGGGCCTGGCTTCCTTCATGGTATGATAAGTAAGGAGTGCTGGTGGAGGAGTGGTTATGCATTGGGCTGCTAACCGCAAGGTCAGCAGTTTGAAACCATCAGCTGCTCCTCAAAAGAAAGACGGGCCTTCCTCACCCAGGAACGAATTATAGTCTCAGAAACTCACAGGCTGCAGTTCTACCATGTCCTATAGGGTTGCTGTGTCGGCGGCATGGAATCGATGGCAGTGAGGTTTGGTTTTTGAGTTGTGTGATAAACAGAGGCTCAGAGAGACCAGCTGACACGCCACCACACAGGTGGAAGCCCGTGTTATCTGGCTCCAGGTCTTTCTCCCTGTACCGCCCCCTCTACCTTGCTCCCCTTCACCCCTGGTACTATGGCCTGAACCAGTCTGTCCTTGTTTCTGTCCCCTGGTCTCCTTTACTCCACACTCTTTTGAGCACCTACGGTGTGTTAGGGCCCGCTAGGGGAGTTGGCGGCCTGGGACCGGGTCACCGGGTCTCTTCATTGTGTGCTGGACTCTCTCTGGACTAAGGGGGCTGTGTGTGTGTGTGTGTGTGTGTGTGTGTGTGTTGCAGCTCCACAGCTCTCATTAGGAGGTGTCCAAGGAGGAGGTGATTGGAGGTAAGAAAAGGGCAAACCTTAAGAGAGGTGGAGAGCTCCTAACCCCTACCCCCCCACCCCTGACACAGGAAGCCAGCTCAGGGGGATCCGAGGCGGCTGCCTTTATTGGGGACTGTGGTCCAGGGACACACAGCTGCTTCACTCCAGGGCTACACACTTGATCTGGAAGTTGCCATCGGCCTCCAGGAAGTTGATAGTCTCCAGGTTGAGGCGGTTGGGGAACTTGAACGTGTGTCCGTCTGGCAGCTTGATGCTCAGGTCGGCTTGGTCAAAGGAGAAGCACACCTGGGGTGGGGGGGAGTAGCTGTGAGCCAGGGCCTGTGGCCCACCTTTCCTGCACCGGGCTGTGGCCACCTTGACAGTTGGAGTCACTGGGGATGACACTGCCCTCTCCTCCCAGGAAGCCAGGTCAGGACACCCACCTCAGCGACACTGCCCGCCTGGAAGGGGAAGTTGGTCTCCCGTTGCTCGGCGCCCCAGGCCCCGGCGTCCTTGCTGTTACACACGATGGTGTTGGTATCACCGTGGGCGTCGAAGCGAGGGTTGAAGTGCAGGCACAAGTTGTTGTTGTCTTTGCCCAGGTTCAGCGCGAAGCTGGGGGAGCAGAGGGGGTGCTGAGGACCCCTGGAGCTGGACCACTCCTGAACCATTAGGGCAACCACCCCCAAGAAGGTACACTCCCTGCCCCGAGGGGCAAGGAATCTGGACTCTGTCAAGCTCTGCCCCCTCCTTACTGTGTGACCTGGGACAAGTCTCTGTCCCTCTCTGGGGCTCAGTTATGTCCAGAGTCGAAGGGGGGTAGCCAAGGAGAGTCTCTATGCTGATGGCCCCTATGTCCATACACAGGAGTCCGTGTCCTGGGGCTTTTGCTCCAGGGCAAAGAGCCCCTCCTGAGGGCGACCTCTGGTTGAGGGGACACGTGTCCCTGTTTGCCTTATTGATCTCTGGGGCTCAGGTAGAGGCTGAACAACTCCGAGGGCACCTTTGTTCTTGGTGACAGCGGCAACGCCCCTGGGTGAGGGTGTGGTCAGAATTAAGTGGAAGTACTGGTCAGTTGCCCACCGAGGTTGGTCAGCGGCCCTTTGGTGGCCTGCGACCCTGTGTTACTGATGGCAGACTCATCAAGGAGGTAGTGGACAGGCCTTGGTCACAGCCTGCCTAGGAGAAAGCACTCCCGCTGGGCGAATGAATGGGTGAAGGAAGGAAAGAGTGAATGAATGGCTACACTCGGGAAGGGGTCCTGGAAGAGAGAAGGAGGGGAGATAGGGGAGACGCCTCTCCTCCCCACCCCGCCCCAGCCCCACCCGCCCATCCGAGGCCTCGAGGCAGACACACAGGACGCAGCTGGTTTAAATTAAGCGGGGAGGGGGGAGAGGCGGCAGTGG